ATGTAAACCAGATGAAAGATTTGATGGAAAAGTGGGTAAAGGGAAAAGGTGTTACAAGCTTTGAAGGAATGTGTGATCTTGTTGCTCAGGAACATTTTCTGAGTATATGTAGCGATGATGTGAAACAGTGTTTATGGGATGAAAACTTGATGAACTGGCTACTCTAGCTGATCAATTTGAGCAAACCCAAGCATCTATTGCAGGAGTAGGCAACCTATGGCACGCATGCCAAAGGCAGCACACAAGCTGATTTTCAGTGGCACTCACACTGCCTGGGTCCTGGCCACCGGTCCGGGGGGCTCTGCATTTTAATTTAATTTTAAATGAATCTTCTTAAACATTTTAAAAACCTTATATACTTTACATACAACAATAGCTTAGTTATATATTATAGACTTATAGAAAGAGACCTTCTAAAAACGTTAAAATGTATTACTGGCACGCGAAACCTTAAATTAGAGTGCATAAATGAAGACTCGCACCCCACTTCTGAAAGGTTGCCAACCCTGATCTATTGCAAACAAACCACAGACAGAGGAGTTTAAACCTGGTGGGAAGCAGAGTTCCCGTTTTACTCTTGGGAAGAAGGAGAGTGGAGGGGAGTCTGGGTGCTCACCTCCCCAAATCCATTCCTCTAGTCCTCGTTCCAAATCTCCTGTAAAAATAGAGGAGCCCAGAAGGTGCTATCACTGTACTTCCACTGAGCACCTGAGGAATAAATGCCCCGTGCTGGGTGGGAACAAGCCGCAAGCAACTCATGGAAATGCTGCTACCCTGAGCACAGAGGCACTTCAGGCACAATTGCCACTTACCATACAGGGTTGTCCAGCCAGGCATCAAGCACATAAAGGCTGCCAGGATTAATGGCAGAGAACACCAGGGGTGGAAAGACACGGGGTTGTGCAGGAAAGTTACCGCCAGGGCAGATGGCAGAGCTTTTATTAGTGGGAGGTTACAAAATCCTTGTGCATATAGAAAATGAGGATTTGGAAGCTGTATTGGCTGTGGCTGTGGTAAATGATAACCCGACTGCTTTGAGAATGATTTCTTCCATGTAGCTTGGGATGTCAAGGAGAAATTTTATGCTGGAACCCCAGAGGTAAAGAGCAAAGTCTCAGGAACCGCTGGAGGAATGGGAGAGTGTCTCTTTAATTCCTCTGCAGCAGTGGAAAACTGTATGCTTCCAGGGGTGGGTGTGGTTGAGGCCAGCTCCTGCCACCTGGTAGCTAAAGGCAGGGTCTCTTTGGGGGGGGGAACCCGTCACAAACACCTCTCCTTTTTTTCCCCCTGCCTGTCCTTCCTCAGCAAGATGTTCCCTTCTGTAGCAATATTCCAGTCATGTGTATTATCCCGCCAAGTCTCTGTGATGCCAGCTATGTCATAGTTGTGATTATTTACTAGTATTTATAGCTCTTCCTATTTATTCCTCATACTTCTTGCATTAGTATACACATCTAAGATACTTATTTAATTTCCACACTGTTCCCTCGTTTCTCCTTTGTCCTTGCTATAATTGCCTCATGCTTCCTTTAGATTCAGACCCTTCACCCATGTCTCCATGTTTTTGGCTTACCTGTGAGCTTTTGTCTCCTGACCCTGTTAAATCTAGCTTAAAGCCTTCTTCACTAGTTTAGACAGAGTGGAACAAGGAATTGGGAATAGAAGATTGTTAGAATACCAGTATCTCCTTTCTTTCACTGAGAGAAAAGGCAACAGGAACTATGTTAAGAATTTCCGTCTTCTGCTAAAGAGGTTTTCAGGAATCTCAGCATAACTGGATGGCACCATTGCCACAGTTCTCTCTTCCCTACTGGGAGGGTGAACTCTGGGTGAATAGAAGTTTTGTCATTTGATAAAAAGTTACTTTCAAGGACTATATTGCCTCCTTAAGAGGAGAGGAATGCTCAACTTTTTTGTCATTGTCTGAAGGTGTAGGAATTTTTAAATTCTGGTAATTTTGTGGAGGCATCCATGGGGACATTTAGGTCAGATTTGTATATTTTCAGTGAATATTGAGGCTATGTTTTCCAAAAGAACTTGTTGGGAGGCTTAGCTTGTATTTGCCCTATAGGGTAATTTGTCTGTCTGATTAGTAACAACACTTTTGAAGTCCAGACGCCAACGGAGATTGACTTTGTATTGATGCAGTACTTGGGGTTCATGAAGTATTATCTGTGATAGGCTGCAGACACCTCAAAGGGAAATCAGAAATTTAACACATTAAAAATGAGCAGTTGGTTTAACTGATTGTGTACTGTGTTGTATTATAAAACTATGTTGAGTAAGGTCTTTTTCTGCAAGCTTCTGATGTTCTGAACTTGATGGTCGTTATGAGATGTATACAGACTATGGTTATTAATTTATGTATTTGTGAATATAGAAAGCTATGCTCATAGTCTATGGGGCAGCTTCAGCTGTATCTCACAGTAGAGTGGTGAAGCAGTCAGATAGGGAGGGGCACCTTCCAAACCAGTTGTTTACACAACCCCAATTTAAAGGACCCATATATTGTCCAGCTCAGGAAAAGAAAATGATGGACCATTAGAGTTAATGGGGAGACATTGAGACATCCTGGCTAGAATTTACCCCACTCTGAATAATCATGAGTTATCATGCCAGGAGAGAGAGAGAGAGAGTAAGTTTTTTAAAAAAA